TTGAGAGAGAGAGAGAGAGAGAGAGAGAGAGCGAGCTTGAGCGGGGGAGGGGCAGAGAGAGGGGGAGACACAGAATCGGAAGCAGGCTCCAGGCTCCGAGCCGGCAGCACAGAGCCCGACGCGGGGCTCGAACCCACGAACCGCGAGATCGTGACCTGAACCAAAGTTGGGTGCTGAACCGACTGAGCCACCTGGGTGCCCCTCAGTTTCCTTAGTAAAAACACCCTTTTTCTGTCCCAGGAGCCTATCCAAGGACCCCATTACATTTAGCCACTGCTCTTGACTGTCTGTTTTGTGACCTTGATGGGTTCAAGGAGTTACGGTTAGATATTTTCTACGTATTTCTAGATATTTTCTGCTCCTCTCTTTGGATTTGTGTGATTTTTTTTCTTCTAACGATTATGTTGGCATTGTGGGTTCTTGGGCGGAAGACCGTAGAAGGAAAGACCTACTCCCCATTCCATACTATTGTTTTTTTCAGTGTTTGTTCATTTCTGAGGGGGGCAGGCAGAGGATCCAAAGCAGGCTCCAGGCTGAGAGCAGAACCCGACGTGGGGCTCGAACTCACAAACCGTGAGATCATGACCTGAGCTGAAGTCAGACGTTCAACCGAGTCACCCGGGTGTCCCCCCCTATTATTTTCTTTAGGGGGACCTCACCGTGTGCAACCCACATCTCAGGAGGGGGAGTCATACTCTTGAATTGTTTGGAATTCTGTGAGAGATGCGTTTCTTGTCCTGCGTTTACTAATTTATGTCAGTGTGGACTTAACAGGTGTTAACTAATACTACTTTATTTTGCTCAGATTGTTTTAGCTCTTTCATTTAGACACACTCCTCATTGTGGGTTTTGTGGTGGGTTTAAAAAAAAAAGTTTTCTTTTGTGCACTTTTTTCCTGGCACATCCTTTGTGGGCCCAAGAATCAGCTGTTGCTCCAACGGGCTCTGGTTGCTGTTACTGCAGAACGCCATCAGAAACGATGGTTTGAGAGCTGGCCTGTCTGTTAGACTTTTTCAGCTGACAAAGGAGAACGTACGTTAACTTTAACTCTGTACATACGCTTGCCTGTAAACGTTTCTATACGTGACCACCGTGTTGGTACACAGAGAGACGAGCCCATACTGATGTCCACATGGCTCATCTGGCGCCCTTTCCTCGCTTATCTGTAACCTCCCCCTGCAGCAGGCGGCCGGCCTCCCCTCCACCACCCTGTTACTCGTCCAACCCCAGCACGTGCATGGCCGCGCGGCCCTGGGAAACTGCTTTCTCAAGTGTGGTACGGGGCTCAGTGCAGCTTGGTAGACATTCTTTTAAGATTCTCTTTCTGCACCTTCGGGATTGGAAGTAGACCTTAAGTAAACATCAGAAGGTTGAATGAAAACTGTCTTGTCTCCCCTACAACCCTTGTTGATTAGATTCTAAATTCCTTAGCATCCCAGTGACATAATTTCTGTGCCCAAGTTTAGCCCCTTAAAAAGAATTTTGGTATTGGGGCGCCTGGGTGGCTCGGACGATTAAGCATCTGACTTCAGCTCAGGTCATGATCTCATGGTTCGTGGGTTTGAGCCCCATGTTGGGCAATTTGCTGACAGCTCAGAGCCTGGAGCTGCTTCTGATTCTGTGTCTCCCTCTTTCTCTGCCTCTCCTCTGCTCGTGCTCTGTCTCTTTCTCTCTCTCAAAAATATATAAACATTAAAAAAATATAAAAAAAGAATTTTTGTATCATAGTATTGAGTTGGTGTGTATAATATTTTTTTCTTTCATTTGCCTTCAGTGTTATAGTTCTTACTTTCTCTCCACAGAAAGAAGTTTTGGTATGAAGGTCCTTCCTTGGGCTCTCACTTGGTAAGTCCAGAGTAGCAGCTGCTGTAGACTCTGGTGGGCGTGAGGTTCCAGAAGTCGGCAAAACTCCAGCCTGGCCGTCCTTCCATTTCCAAGTTTGAATGCACAAGGTCTGCAGGCTGGGACTAGATACACTGGTAGAGTGAATTTTGACTTAAAAAAAAAAAAAAAGAGTCATACTAAAGTTTTCTGGGATGTTGTCTCTGTTATCAAATACTAACAGTGGTTTTTAGTGTGTGTGCATGACACGTGTAGATGTGCTGTAAAAGTTTATATAATAAATGGTTCTTGTTAGAAAAATTACATTGTGTGTTAAAAACCACTGAATTGTGTATCTTTAGAGAGGGAGAATTTTATGGTATGTGGATTATGTTTCAATGAGATTTTGGGGGAGGAAAAAATATATACTGACAGTACTTTTAATTTTGGAGGGGCGCTAGGTAAAATCTATGAAGGATCCAGGTCTGTAAATTGTATCTTAATGAATCAAGCTGAGATGGTTGAGGGTAACGTTGGTTTTTGTTTTTCAAGGTGCTAAGTCCTTCCCAGCTCCCTTTTTGTAGATTAGGACAAGTTTAACATATACGGTTGTAACGTTGGCCTTTCTGTCTGTTCTTCTTGATGGAGATGTACAAGCCGTCCCAGTTGGAATTCCTAACGAAGACCACCTCAAAGAAAACCAGGAAGGACGACCAGGTGCGCCTGAGGGCCCTGAACGGCCTCCTCTACAAAGCGCTGACTGATCTGCTGTGCACCCCTGAAGTGAGCCAGGAGATCTGTGACCTGAATGTGCAGCTCTCCAAGGTAGACTGGGCCCGGGTGGGAGGAATCGGGGTGAGGCCTGCAGGCCTGCGTCTAGTGGTTAGAAAGAAGGCGCCACGCTAGACTCAGGGTCTTTGAAGTTCTGTAGTGATGCTAAGTGGGACCATTCGAGTTGTGAAGACGGAGGGTACGTGTGCACGTGTGTGTGTGGTGTGCAAGCACTGAGGGCGTTGTCAGATGCCCGGGAAGCACGATGGGTGGACGCGTGTGCGTTTGTCTTGGTGAGGAGACAGCAGGTGCCTCCCTGCAGTCTCCCTGTCCCTAGAGCGAGCTGAGCTGGAGGGAAATGGGAAAATAAGTGGTAGTTCTGGCGGTTCTGATGTGCGCTGTGGGCTTGGGGTCAGGGACGATGAGGGTTTGCATTCTGGGCCCGGCTTCACCCCTTGTGAGTGTGTGGCCGGAGATGGTGGCCTGTCGCGGTACCCGCGGGAGTGCCTGCTTCTGGGTGGTGGGTGCCTGGAGCTGAAGACTGCCGATGAGCTGGTCTTCAGCCGCGGCCTGTGGTCCGCGGAAGCCCACGGAAGCGGACAGTGACTTGAGGCTGGGGTGGGTGGGACTCAGGTGTCTCTGACTTCAGACTTCTCGGCCTGCCGTGTGTACTGGAGGACGACCGTCTCGGCCGAGCAGAACGCGCACACAGAGGCCGTCCTGCGGAGGAGCGCCGCGCACATGAGGTGACCGCGCTCTTCGTGTCTGCTTCCGCACGCACCTTGTGTTTCCCTCTTGTTGCATTAAGTTTTTTTGCTTTGAAGGAAAATTTTGGACGCATTTTCTTAAATTTCAAGATGTAGTTTACATCTGCACGTGAGATGTCATCTTGGACAGCAGTTCTCACAGCGTGGCCCCAGACTTCTGGGGACTGCTGACACCCAGGTGTCCCTGTGGTCATTGTAGCTTCATGCCATGTGCTCCCAGTAAAACACAATGCCACTTCGGTTTAAGGATCTCTCTGATGGGGCGCCTGGGTGGCTCAGTCGGTTGAGCCTCCGACTTCGGCTCAGGTCATGATCTCACGGTCTGTGAGCGTTGGGCTCTGTGCTGACAGCCTGGAGCCTGCTTCGGATTCTGTGTCTCTCTCTCTCTGCCCCTCCCCTGTTCATGCTCTGTCTCTCTCTGTCTCAAAAATAGATAAACATTAAAAAAAAAAAAAACTATCCATGATGAATAAGCAAAAGTTACTAATTTTATTATATTCTAACTCTTGGGTACCTGTCGTTGTAATGTTCTGTGTGGTGGGAAGGAAGCCTAAAATAACCTGTGCTGATGTGGTTGTCTGGGAAACACACAGTTGATTGTGAGCTGCAATAGACACTGTTCACTGGAAATGACAAGTGAACCACAAGCTGTGGTTTTTTCAGATTTGGGTATTTGATACGTTTTCTCTAAAATGAGCAAAGTGAACCTGTCCCTTCAGGGAAAACAACTGACTATACTTGTTGCCAGTGATAAAATTCAAGCTTTCAAGTGAAAGTTGATTTTAGAAAACCTGTATCCACCACCGTGATTTTGGTAGCTTTCTGATACTTAAAGACTCTCGATGAGAACGTTGGTCGTGTTGACAAATGCAGTGTCATACTGTTCAGTGTGTCAACATTCTGCAAATCTGGGTAATTTGGTGAGCCAGTGTATTCCAAATGACTAATGCCTGAAGTTACAAACTCAAGCTTAGGGAAAGAGCCATTCGAGGTCAAGATACACCAGTGGATTTTAATATGACAGTGACACTCATTGATCTGGTTTCAGATTCCACGCTGCAACTAACTTTAACAGTATCCTTTGTTGAGTTTTTGTGGAGTGTTGGAGAAGATCCATTCTTTTCTGGAGTGGTGTTCATTTGCTCCTTTTCCAGTTACAGGGCAGTGTGAGGCCGGATCTTCTAGTCCAGCCAGAATAACAGAACAGCTTGGGTGCAGCGGGGAGAACGTCTCCCATTAAGCTGGGCATTAGAGAGATTTGTGACTATGTAAACAAGGCCAAGTTTCTCAATCATTTTTTTGGGAATAATTATCTTCAATGGTTTAGTTATTTTTCATTAAAAATCCCACGTAAACATTTAATAGGTTTGTTATCTTGAATGAACGAATGTCTGTTTTTCAAATTCTCACTTTTAATTTATAGTGTAGTAGATACAGATAGATACAACACTCATCAACGAAAGCTCTTGGGTGTGCTCAGTAAGTTTTAAGAGTATAAAGAGGTCTTGATACTAAAAAGTTGAGAACTACTGAGGTGGGTGCTGGGAAAGGAGTTACTGTGTTTTCTCCCCAGTCTTAAGAAATGCAGAAACCTAACCAAGCAGCACTCAGAACTGGACTCCCTCCTTCCTGCTTCCTTCCTCTCTCTGTTCCTCTCGCCTCTTCCTTGTACCTCACACTTCACTTTTAGGATAGGGGGATGGAATCCTATGTGGAACTAGGGTTTGCACATACCGTCTGCTTCAGCTCAGCTGACATCATTCCCAGGAGGCCCTAGGAGTCTCTTTAGAGGAGAGTATTAATTGTGTATCAAGGAGTGCTCAGTTAATTTCATTTTTCTCTTGTTAACAGAAACAAGAAAAAGATTTCTGACAAGTGTACTAACAGCATTGCTTTCTGATGAGTTTTTGGGTAATCAGAAAATCCAACCGAACAGACCGTCCCTTTCCGCAGCTCTTCTGCTCACCTGAGGTTTGGTGTAGAGGCTCTCCTGTAATCACGGGCCAGGACCTGCTGTCGCTGTGTGCAGAGAGGCTGTGCTCACCAGTGTTTTTGCCGCGGACTGGCTGCAGCCAGTTCACCTTAGTCTGCTTGTATCAGTGACTGATGCAGAGAATGACATGTGCCTGAGGATGGCTGAGGACCTCGGTGCACTTGTGTGGCCTTGGTGCCAGTGGATGTCCACTGGAACGAAGCCGAGGCGGGTTGTCGGTGCCCAGACCACGCAGCCCACTGCCACGGTGCTGCCCGGGAGGCGTCTAAGTGAAGATCAGGTTATTCGTTAGGATCTCAAGAGTTGCATTTAGGCAGCTAAAAATAGTTGTGATGATGTGTTTTGTATCCCTCTTGTGATGTGGCGGTTGCCTGCGGAAGACTTTCCTGGGCTGACGTGTTGGTGTTTTGAGTAACGTGATAAGCATATCTTCTGTCTTACCTCTCCGTGAGGTTACTGTATATTTTTCTGTCCGCTAAGTGTCACCTGCAACGCACAGTGTGCCTTGTCTCTCTCCAGGCACATTTTGATGTCCCAGCAGACCCTGAGGAACGTGCCGCCGATAGTGTTTCTTCAGGACAAAGGAAATGCGGCTCTAGCTGAGGTAAGGCTAAGTGACTTTCCATAATGAGCTTTTCTATGGGTAAGATTTTATATTTAATTTTGAGAGATTCAGATGATGTGTACAGTTAAAGGAAGCAACCCTTGGCGGGTACAAATGAAAAGTGAGGCTCCCATGCCTCTGTCCCAGCCAGACTCCCCAGAAGGAACCACTCTTCAGGCTTTAAATTTTAACTGCTTACCACTGTATCTCTCACCAGGACACCAAGTCTCTGTTTCTTGTCTTACAAAGTTGATGCAGGCAAAGCTGCCTCCCTCCCTGGATCTGACCGTCTGCAGTTACTTTACACCAGAGGTTACTTCTGTAACCGTTTTGTATAATTTCCCTTACTTTAAATACTGTTAATTATGAGGTCTAAAACCTGTGTGTAAATATATGTGTGTATATATTTGTATCTTTATGGTGTTACCTGGTGGTCATTAAGATACGTCACACTTTTAAAAAGTTTACAAAACCCCCAGTAAGTAGCACTTATGATTATAATTAGGTAGCTGTTATTCACTGCAGGACTAGGTAGTTTTTAGAGCCACAGAGGAAAACAAGTCTAGTCGGACATTTTTATCTTTGTTATTCATTATACAAGCAACACTGAAAACCTTATACAAACAATAACCTTGACAGGTAGGGGCTTTTCCTAGCGACAGAAGGAGACGGAGGAGTGAAGTGACCAGTGCCAGCTTTAGAGAACCCAGGAGAGCACAGGTTAGGCGTTTGCCGGGGAGAGTGCAGCAGGGAGCTCATGCGTGCATGTCCGGTTGAGTTGGTGGAAGGAAGTACCTCTGCTCTCACCATCCCAGGCTTGTCCCTCTCTTGCCAGCGAGGTCCTACCTGGCTCCGTGGGCTCCTTTCTAGAAAAAGTGATTGGAAGGAGGGAGGCGCAGACAGTGCTCAAAGCATCCTGGAGCGGTTCTTTCTCCAGAGATGCTGCTGCTGGGTATTCGCGGTGGAGGCTCCGCGTCTGTCCTCTGTGCCCTTCCTGTGCCAGGGGCAGAGTTAGGCTTCTGCCTGGCTCGCTGTCACTGTAGTTAGAAGCAAGCAGGGGCCCGACCGAGGGGTCTCTGAGGGGGGCAGGTGGCTAGCCGAGTGCACAGTCATCACGGTCATTGTGGGCTGGCTCTTGCGGAAGTCAGTGCGGTGGTTTTGAGACCCTTATGTCTGTTTGTAAGAGAGTTGAAGTCAGCCAGTGGCAAAGTAATCTGGATAGACACGCAGATTTGAAGTTGGGGTTTGTGGGTGAAACTTGGAGTCTCGTACCCTCAGCGTACGTGTGTGTCATGTGGGCTGCACGCGTGGAGGCGTCGCGGGTGGTGGGAAGTGGTAGCGGCCGGCGGTGGTCGCAGCGCGTACTTTGCGGTGTCAGGAAGCAGAGCGGCACCAGCTCCGTCCAGGCCGAGCCCCGAGGGGCACTTGGCTTCGCTGCCGTCACTGCCGGTAGGCCCCGACGTCACTGGTGTCGGGAAGAAAGCGGGAACGGAAACCACAGGGAGGTACGGCACGTGCCCTTCCTCCACAGCGGTTGACATTAAACGGTGACCACACCGAGCGTGGAGGAATCACGGGGCTGCGGCCCCGCCACCCCGTGGTCCCGTGGAAGCCGCGCACGCACATCCTGTGACCCAGAGCTCCCGCGGGTGGGCCCACGGAAACGCGTGTCTGCCAGAGGTGTGCGGGTGCTGGTGTTGGGGTTTCTTGTAGGTGCCTAGCTCTGATTCAGCCGTGGAGGGGTGAACGCGGAGCCCCAGGCGAGGCCATGGTCCCTGTGATTCTGTCTGTGGGACGTGCAGGGACACGTGCGACCGGTCTGTGGTGACGGAAGTCAATAGTGCCTGTCTTTGGGCAGGGAGTGGGCAGGAGGGGCTCGAAGTTTCCTGGGGTTCGTCTCCTTAAATGTCAGGGGGATGTCCACAGGCACAGTCCCTTTGTGACATGTCATTGAGCCGTATGCCTTGATGTCCTTGCGCTTTTCCCGTGTATTACGTTTCAGTCAAAGGGTTTGTACAATGTCGATTTTGTCATAATTACAAAGGACGAAAAATAGATTTTTAAAGAAAATACATAAACTGTGTTCCCAGCATTGGGATTTATTACACATTTGCTGGTCTCCCCGCTTCTGAGAGCAGGCGTGGCTGGGCCGTGCTCGCCTCGTCCCACGGGCCTCATGCTAGAGCCTGGACTTCTCCTTGGGGTGGGCACTGAGCCGCTTCCGTCCTCGCCCGAGGTTCTGTGCATGCGGAGTTCGGCTGGGACTCAGCCCTGCAGCCTGTGTTGACGTGTTAGGGTTTGGTGGTGTCTGCACTGGTTCTTTGTTAAGACTTTTAACGAAAGCTTTGGTGCGGCAGGATTTACCCAGAGGCCCGCCCCGTCCTCACCCTTCCCACCACCCATCTTTTTTTTTTTTTTTTTTTTTTTTTT